ACAAAGTTTTAATTTCACCTAAGCATGGGTGTTTGGTGGCTCATTAAAAACCATTAATTTCTGTTGCGTTAAAAAAGCTAACGAATTTTCTGTTAAAATCCATTATGTTAAAATTTATTAACAGTAATTTTCCGTTAATGGTAGTTAACATATTTTAACTGACGTTAAACTCCGTTAATGGCCATTAATTTAAAAAGTCAACTTATTGAAATTTATCAGCTAAAAATACTTTTTTTTTTTTTTTTAATAAAAAAACTTATTTCAATTTAAATTATACATTTTCAACTATAGTTATAAGTTTAACTAATTTTCATAAATGTTTTGAATAATATTTTTATAAATTTATGTTAATACATTTATAAAATATTCTTTTGAAAAAAGTGTTATGAAATTTTTGCTAATAATTTTATAAAACCTTTAGTTCGATAATTGAACTGTATATTTTGAAATTTTTTTTGCTCCTTGTCTTTCATTCAACTGAGTTGATTTAATATAAACTTTTTTTAAACAACTTAAGCAAATATTTTTATATAAAACTAATGAAATCACCGGAAATTAATGGAATCGACGGAAATTTCCGTCGATATAATGGACAGTAATAACGGAATTTATGTTATTACTGTCCGTTAAAATTTTTTAACGTAACGAACAATAACGGTTACGGACGGATTTACCGGATGGAAAAATTAAACACCCATGCTTATCTTCACCACATCCCTGGTGTTACTATGATCAACTTGCTTCTCTGCGCAGCAATACTTTTTGTCATGGTTAATGTTTCAGAGTAAAAGGGTTGGGAGTTAGTTGTAACCACAATTAAGAGAAAAAATATATATTTAAATAATTATATTTAAAAAATAGCAAAGGTTGTTGGGCCCAACTGAAAAATATTTTTATTCTAAATTTTTTTATATCCAGTGTTATTATTTAGCATGTATTTATAGGTATTGGATGACAATTTTTAAAAATTGTTGTTTGTCATGTATATTTTACTTTTCCTAAATAAATGGTTTGCATGTGTTTTATTAATACTCTGTTTTCATATTATTATTTACATTTCTATAATACACTAAAATTTAAATAATTTAATAACTATACGTACTAGGACAAAACTGTAACCAGATTTGGATTCAGCACTGAATATACATTTAGAAAGTTTATTTTGTAATGAGGAAAGAAGACACCTGAAATTAAATCAACAATGATTTGATCATTTAATCCTGCTGAAGCCTTGGGCGTATTACCTTTGGACCGATTCATTAGTCTCTGCAATAAGCCTGTTTTCAATAAGTTCATTTTCAGCTTGTTTTTGAGTCTTTTTGATTTTGGTTAGCAGCATTATTTATTTTTCAATAATGCCAGAACACAGAAAGTTGTTTTAGCATAAAGATTTAACGAAAAAAAATTTTATAACTATTTTTCTTATGTGGTTTTTTTCCATTCTTGAGCTTGTTGGCTACAAAAAAAGTGTCTTGTCTCTTCTTCTCTTTTTAGGATTTGTTGATCAGCTCCTAGTTAAAAATAAGCTATGCAATACTAGTAGAGGCCTGTTATCCTCTGTAGCTACTATAATGAATACTACTATGTGTTAACCAGTGTTAAAATTAGTAGTATCAAAATACATCTGCGACACTTGTCAGTAATCTCAAATGGGCCAAAAAGTTCCTTGATTCAGAATATCCTTTAAAAGGAGAACTGATGAGCTAGATTCTTCTTTTTGTAGAACTGTGTGAAAGCTTAAGAACATAAGTAGTGTTTCCTGGACTTTCCCCGTGGTAGACAAATGTTTTTTCTGTGATTTTTCAACAGCATTCGAGAGCTTTTGATCTTTTATTTCAATTGGGCCAGCTGGGACAAAGAAAGGGAATCTTCCTTTGTCCCAGCTGTCCCAAAATAAATGCAATATCTACCTCTTTGGCTACTTCTATAGCCAAAGTGGAAGATTTTGCAATATCTTCCTCTTTTTATTTTTCCATCTCTTCACAATAAGTTCTTCAGGATTTCTACTAATTGAAAAGCATGTCAGATGATTCTGAAGAAAATCTTTTCTAATTTTTAATAGACCATTCCTGTGACAACTCTTCTTTAACTTGTTGTAATAATCAACGATATTTAAAACCTTTACCCCTATACATTGCATATAATGCAAGTGAATTTTGAAAAAGTATGCACATTAATTAATAAATTTCAAATAAATACTTTACATACAATGTAAAGAACGTGATAAAGCAACATATGAGCATGCTTCTCCTGTGTAAGTATAAATAATAAATGAAGTTGAAGATTTTAAATATAGAATTTTCTTTAAGCGTAAACAAAGAATTTCAAAGAATTACCTTATATTCTCTGTTGTAATTAAAGGGAACCCAGCTAGATCTCATGACACAACCAATTTAGACATCACACAGCATTCTGTGTTCTCTGCTGGGAACTGGAAATAATCTCAAATTAGCACTAAATGAAATCCATTTGTTTAACGTTTAAATTTGTTTAAAAATTAATCAGGATAAAAGCTATTCATTCTGTCTCAAGCTTTGACCATATCTCATTAAGTGTTCTTGGGGTTCTTTATTTGACTTTCCTTAAAAGCTCTTCCCACAGGTTCTCAGTTGGATTCATATCAGGCCTCTGTGGTGGCCAGCAATGATGTTTAAGTCTGAAATAAAGTTTTTATTCAGTTCTTGTGGTGTTGATTTTACATATAAAATAATTCTTATTTCAAATCTGTTATGTTAAAATAATTTCCGTTCTTATGATTTCAACAGTTTTACTAATTATTTCAGTTAATATTTTACTTCTAATTTAGTTAATTCTTTATTTCTAGCAAGTTTTTCTAACAGTTTTTAAAATAATTCAGTTAATATTTTGCTTCTATAAAATCTTTTTTAGCAGTTTTTAACAAGATGTTAACTTATCATTATCCAAGGTTTCAGACAACAATATTAAAACAATTTCTTAATATATTATAATACAATATAAATAACCAAACAATAATTGTAAAAAAGTCATTCAATAATTGAATTTAGTTAAGATGAGATTTTTTTTGAAATAGTAAAAAAATATATTCTTGAATTTTAATCACATGTTCTTGTTTAGTTTCGAAAAATCTCTAATGATTTTTTCATTCTTTTATAGCATCAACAGTTAAAATTCCAAGAAATAAAAAAATCCTTTCTGCGTACGCCTGTAATGCTGGGGTAGACAACAAGTTTTCACCCAACATTAAAATTTTACTATACTTACTTTCGTTTTGTTTCCAAAAGAGCAAGCTGTTACCTGGAAAGGCGTTATTACTCTTTATGTCTGCAAAACAATTGAAATGAAATAATGGCATTATTTTGATCAGTAATAATTTCTTTATTGAAAGTATTTTATTCGACAAGAATTTTAAGTGCTTTGTGGCAGCAGATTTACATTCATATCCATTTGATTCGACAGCTACTTGTAATTCTACAAACACTTGTTGTATATATATATATATATATATATATATATATATATATATATATATATATATATATATATATATATATATATACATACATACATACATACATATATATATATATATATATATATATATATATATATATATATATATATATATATATATATATATATATATATATATATATATATATATATATATATATATATATATATTCATGATCTGTTGAATGAATAAGATGTTTGCTTTGAAATTTAACCTAACCGTTATACTGGCCAGAAATAAAGTCACAATAGTCTTCTTGTGGATAATTTTAGTGCTTATATATAAATTCTTTTACTTGATCAGAAGTGATTGTTAATAGAGCAAGTAGTTGTTTGGAGATATCGTGATTTAGATCAAGGTCATGTTCTATGAAGTTGATGTATAAGATATCTGGACTAGTGGATTGTCCAAAACAAATACCAAAATTATTAGTCAGATGAACTTAAAAAATATTATGCCACATTCTTGCCATATTTAGTCACAGCAGATTCTGTTCAATCTCATTCTCAAGAAGAGTACATGTGACATTAATTCTTCCAATTTAAAGGCCATAGTATCAAAACAAATACTGATAACATTTTTAATAGCCTTTTCAAAACCTTTTTAAGTTTCAATAATTTGAGTTCTGCATTACTCTAGAATGGAACTTCTATACTACTTCTAGAATAGAAGTTCCATATTACTAAGAAATATGGAACTTCTATTCTAAACAGAGAAAATACGAACAAGCAATTGATGAGTTCGTTCTCTATGTCAATGACATCATGAAGCATCTTTTTTACCCTGCAAGCAACACATTTGTAGCTTGAAAGCAAAGCTTGATTTGAAAACTTGAAACTTTTCTATTACAAATAGGTAGTACAGTGAAGGAAACTAAACAACCTGTTTAATTAGCAACTGAATGAGAATGGTCAAATTATGTTCATTATTTACAGCAAAAAGTTATTTAGCTATTGTGAAATCTTTCACAATAGCTGAACAACTTAAAAACAATTCAAGAAAAATTCTTTCCATGTATTAAGTAAAAAAGTATTACTTGCAAATTTATTATTTTCATCATTAGAAAGCAAAAAATAATATCAGCTGTTATTATAAATTCTTAGTTTTAACAATTCATTATGACTATAACTGAATTAAAGCAAAATTATCAGAACACAAAAAAAAAATTTTAGACCTATTAATATTATGTAAAACAGTGAGAACTGCAAATGATTTTTACAAGAGCATTTTAGAATATTGTTAAAATTTTATTAATTACTTTTTTATTAATATTATATTATTAAAGAATATAATTTATAGTTTTTTAAGTAATAATAAACTTATATTATAAACTAATAAAAATATTAATAAATTTTAATTTCTTAATGTGTTGAGTATATAGATAAAGTTGGAAAAGTTTATTAGAAACACATTCATGCTTTTAAATTATTGTTCATACTTTATTTCATGCTTTTAATTTATTGTTCATACTTTATTTCATGCTTTTAATTTATTGTTCATACTTTAGTTTTAGTTGCTGAAATTATTAAGCATTTCATCCCAAGCATTGTTGATTTGCATAATTATGTAACTGCAAATTCTACTTCATTGAAGACAGATAATTGGAATCTTTTATCAAGTAAGTTTTATATATATATATATATATATATATATATATATATATATATATATATATATATATATATATATATATATATATATATATGTATATATATATATATATATATATATATATATATATATATATATATATATATATATATATATATATATATATATATATATATATATATATATATATATATACAGGGGCTATACTAGACCTTTGAGGACCTTTTTTGTGTGTTTTTGACAGCAAGTATTGTTTTTTTCACAAGAAAACGCCGATATTTGGCAATATTTTTACTAAATTTCTCTGGGCTGGGGGGAGGGGGAAGGTACCGTCGCCCAAATTTTTTTCCTAGAATAGCCCTTAATATATATAGACAGTGGTGTACACTTGGATTTTGGTCATTCGTCCGGCAGACGACTGAGAGTAATAGTTTAGCTAATCTTGGTCGGCCGCCAATACTTTGAGTCATCTGTTATCATTAAAAAAAAAAGTTTTATTTATGTTTTAAACAAGTTTTTTAAAGCCTGTGTTTTCCCTTGGAATAAAATTATATTTTCATATTTGATGAATATAAAATTATAAAAAAAGGTTATTTTTATTAAGGATTATTTTTTTAACTTCAGCAGTTATATTATGACGTTATATTTATTTTAAGAAAACTATTGATGCATTAAAAAAGTCTTGGTATTTTTGTTTGCATCATTTTATGTAATTAAACTTTAATTGAATAAGTCTTTAAAAAAAGTTTTTTTTAAAACATTTGAACTAGCGTTTTAAACATCTTTGTATTTTTATTTGCCCACTCACTCTTTTAAAGAGAGAAAGAAAAGATTTTTTTGTAATTAATCTTTGAATGAATGATTTAATGAAGTTAGTTATAAGTTATATATATGTACAGTGGCAACAAAATAAATAGCGCAGATTGATGTTTAATATGTAATGATATATTTTTCAGAGATCTGGGATTTGAAAACTAATTTTTTTTATTATAATAAAACATTAGTTTTAAATGATAAGATTACTGAGTAAAAAAATAAATTAACTTAAAAGTTAAAATAAAAATTTGATTATATAAATGATTTAGAGGTACAGAATAAGGGGGCAATTTAAATAGCACACTCTGTTAAAGAATTATTATTTTGTCCCTTTGCTATAAAAATCATAGAAATTTTTATAAATATTTAAGAAAACTATATTTTGAGGTAAATTAATATTTAGTGGGGTATCCTTTAGAGTCAATAACTGCTTGACAACGACAGCCCATTGATGAGATCAATTTAAAGCATTGATCAGGTGTAATTGCATCCCAAGCAACCTTTATTTTGATTCAAAATTGGTATAAATTTGTCCTCGTCCTCGTCTTGTTGTAGTTTTCAAACCAAAGATTTTCCTTGGCATAAGGCAATATGACATTTTCTAGTATTTCTTTTTACATGTGATGATCCATTATTCCTTGAATTCTATGCAATGAGCCCATGCCACACCATGAAAAACTGCCCCAAACAATCAACTGCCCCAAAACTATGTTTTACAGTCGTCAGAGTATACCAAGGGCTGAGTTCTTGGTTTTGGAGACCATTATTTTTTGTCTGATCCAAAGCAATTAAACTAAGACTCGTCAGTCCAAAGCACAATTTTCTAAAAACCTAATTCTTTGTGTATGTACTGTATTGCAAACTTCAAATGACAAAATTTTATTTTTTGACAAAATTTTGTTTTTTGAGACCAATGGTGTTTTTTAGGCAACTCTTTGAAATAGTGTATTTTGTTGTAAGCTGACAGACAGGTAAATTTGGAGCAATTTGATCTTTAATTTTTGGTGCACCAGCAAAAGGATTTAGCTTAGCTATACGGACAATGGCTGCGTCTTCTGTTAAATAAATTAATAGTATTGATAACTTTTTTATGAGAACAACCCAATCTTCAAATTATTTTAGAGTTGTTCAATTCTTGATCTCAAAATGCCTATACTTGTCCTCAAAAGATATCTGTTCCATGTTTATCTCGTCCCATAGTTAAAAGAATATGATTTTTACAAAATGAATTACATGTTTATCTTTAAAATACTGAGTATAATGATTTTCTTTTGATATAATACAAGCACTTTGTTTTTTTTTTTGAGAAAAGTAATTGTGTGCTATTTAAAATGACCACAAAAATTTAAATGCGACTGCTAAAATTTTCAAAATGAACAAATTTAATAGTTATTAATGTGTAAATTTTAATAGTTATATATATATACATATATATATATATATATATATATATATATATATATATATATATATATATATATATATATATATATATATATATATATATATATATATATATATATATATATATATATATATATATATATATATTTATTTTTTGATTTTTAATATCTTCATTTTTTTATTTTAAATGTACATATATTGACTGATATGTATAGTTAACTGCATTTTTTATTTTGTGCTTTATTATCAATTTTTTTTTGAGAGTTAATATTCTAGTACATTTTTTATTTTAGGAAAAGTGTTTAATCGACTGTCCTTCAATGTTGAAGAAGATCACATCAAAGGGATTGTTATGTGTAGACCAGGATTTATTGAACACGTACTGACTAACCTAAGAGAAAATGTGGGTGTTTTGTTAAAAATAAATTTTTTTTAATAAATTTGTTATTTAAAAATTACACTAAGTAAAGTTGTTATTTGTTATATAAATAAAGTTTAAGAATTTATAAGATGTTTAAAGTCATTTGCGCATAATTTTCTTGTGTCTCTACTCCAAAAAATTCTTTATTTGCTCCATCGATTATATGCTCCATCGATTATATGCTCCATCGATTCTAACTGTCCAGTCAGTTTTCATTTGACTCATTTCATGCTGCACAAACACAATATATATTTTTTCAGAAAAAAAATATATATTGTGTTTATAATATACTTGACTGATTTTAGAAAAAAAAATTTTTTTCTTTTTTTACTCTTGACATTATACTACTGTTTTGCACCAACAGTAATATATTGTGAAGTATTTTTAGGCCCTTTAACAACAACAATTTCCATTTTAAAATCATTTTTACAATAATAAGGTAAATAATAATAACAATAATTATAAAATAATAAGCAATAGTAATAATTTATAACAATAATAACAAAAAAAAATTATAAATAATAATAATTACTATAATAATAAGTAAAATGATATGTTATTTCTTATTATAATAAGTTAATGGTTAGTATGGATGGTGTCACTCATACAGAAGTCTGATCAAAGGAGTGACACCATTTTTCAAAATAATATGACTAATAATAAACATAAAACATAGACACACATAAAGTAAACTTTTTAAAAATCATATATGTAGGTAATAATAAAACAGAAAAGAAAAACAAAAAATAAGGATAATTATTATAGTAATAGAAAAAAATTATAACAAAATATTTTTCAGAATTTTTTAAAATTGATTTTGATTAATATTAAGAAAAGATGACAAAGGAGTTTGGAGTCGGAGTTTATTGAACTCATTCACAATGCACACAAGGCTCTTGTTCCATTCACAGATGCACTGATACACAACAGTATTCTTACCATACTTTTGAGTTTTATATGATGGTACAATAAGTTTTCCATTATTTATATATTTATATTTTGCATAGAGTGTGTATGAATTAGTCTACTTTAATGAATTTATTTTATGCAATATTTTTTTAAAACACAAAATAACTTTTTATGCTAACAGGGTAACATTTTTCTTAGGAGAAATTATCACATCTTAAAATAAGTAAATTTTGAACATTTAGTAGATGACAGCTTTTTTGTATTTTTTTGTATATATATATTGTATATTTGTATATATATATATATATATATATATATATATATATATATATATATATATATATATATATATATATATATATATATATATATATATATACATATATATATATATATATATATATATATATATATATATATATATATATATATATATATATATATATATATATATATATATGTATTATATATATATATATATATATATATATATATATATATATATATATATATATATATATATATATATATATGTATATATATATGTATATGTATTGTATATTTGTATTTTTGTATATATATATATTGTATATTGAATAAATTTTTTCTATTTATTTACAGTTTTCCTTAGAAAATTTTACAATTAGTAAAGACATCTACATATTTTCCTTTATTTTTTTAATAGCTGACATCTGCAACTTGTTCTCTTATTTTATTAGCTTTTTTAAATAAAAATTAATTCCCCTAAAATCTTTTGATTCTTTTCGTTTACAGAAAGATTTAGAGATAAGCATTCTGATGATTTAAGTTGAATGTTAAAACTTATATAAAATAAGTTAACATAAATAAACAAAACTAACTTTCAGATTGTATTGTGAGTCTTTAAAATCTTTGTACATTAAATTAAGAAAAAGTAAAGCACATTTACCAGATTTATCTTTTATCCCACAACATGAATAAATAACCTGACATTTTTAAAAGTGTTTCATTACTCTTTCTGGTTATATTTTGAATAAAATAAAGAGTTTTGAATTACTATGAATTTTTTAAAATTTAATTCACCTTTTCAATGCTCCACTACTGTACCTACCCACACTACCTTCTCTATGCTTCATTGCAGTCAAGAATGTTACTCATTTATTCATTATTTTTACTTGAAACTCTATCCTTCAACCCTGAAGTCTGAAACAAGAACCTTGTTAAACAAGGGTGTTGCACAGTGAAACAGGTTAAGTTTGGTACTCCCAGAGGTCAAGGGTAGATTTAAATCTAGCATCATATGGTTGTAATCCTTGTGTTCTATACCCTTATAACAACTAAAATATATGAATTACAAAACTCTTTAAAATTAAAGTTGAAAATCAAAGTGCAGTTCTCTAAAAAATACAAGCACAAAAATCTTTGAAGAATTTTTAAACACAAATCATTCAAATTTTGTTTGAATCAAAAAGATTAAGTTGAATTGGCTGTCAAAAATGATTGCCAGTAGCAAAAAAAATAAAACACTGATTATTATGAGTTAAAACTTTATTTTAAACAAAATTATTAACTTATAATGATTATATTTCAAATTTGCAACCCCCTCAAATTGAGGGAGGTTCAAACTTTATATGCAGGCCTGTAGCAACTGGGGGGTCAGCAAGGACATTTGCCCCCTCCTTTGCCTCCCCTTCAATAATTTTTTAGATAAATAATTTTAAAGTTAGGTTTTAGAAAAAAGAAAATGTTTACAAATTAAGATTTAAAAAAAAAAAGGATAGAAAAGACCTGATTTGTTATTGGTATTTTCAGCGTAAGTTCCTTTTACAAAAATTTTTGACCTACTAGTATTTGACCTACCCAGTACTATTGCCCCCTTCAATATAATTTTTATTCCTACGGGCCTGACATGATCATAATTTTTGAATGCTGAAAAATTATTGTATAAAATTTGAAATTTAGAGATTAATATAAAATTATTTTAAAATAGTAAAAAAAGTATTTTATTAAATTGCTGCTCTTATGTTTGGTACAGTCGTGGCCCGAATTATTGGGGTTCTTTGTTCACAGGCTCCAATCATTGGAATTTTCTGCAAAGCATATTTATTTGACATAGGTATAAATATCTAGAAGTTAACTATTTCAAACATCAAAAAATAATGCATCCACCCCTGAACATATATTCATTTCGTTTGACATGTTAACTGCCATCAAAAAAAAATGTTTTTTAAAATTAAAGTAAAAATAAGTAGTTTTTTGAGGAGTAAAATTATTATTTTCTTTTTGTTAGAATATATTGTTAATTTACTATGCAGTATATTTTAACTACCTTTACAACAACCATTGTACATTCTGTGTCAGTAGGGACATTTAAAATTTTAATTCTTAAGCTCTATTAGCTATATTTAGCATCAAGAACAATATTTAAAATATGGATAGTTAGCTTGTTTGGTTTTTCAAATTCCAGAAATCAGAACAGCGTTTGAGTGAAAAGTTTTTACTACAGCAAAAAGTGACAGTTGCTTTCATTTTTTTTACTTTAGATTGATTCCTATATGGCTCGAAAAAAGACAGCTGATGTTGCCGAAAAAAATTTAGTGGAAAATGGTAAAAAAATATATATATTTCTAATTTTAAATGCTTTAAATTAAAAAAGTAATTTTTATTGCAATTGTTTTTTTTTATTCTTAAATTATCTTTTTTGTTGTTGTTGGTATAGGTTCTAATTCTTATCAACCTCTTTACAATTACCCGACAGCCTACAGTGATAACCAAAAATATGTTCCATTACCAAATCCAGTGTATCATTTTCAAAATAGTGTAAGTTTTTTCTTCAATCAACCTTATGCAATTTTTTCAATGATGTTTTCTTTATATTTTTCTTATACACTATAATCTTCTCTTTGAAACAATTCTAGTGGTATGTTAAAATCAATTATTATTTTATTGGATAGCTAATCTCCAGTTTGAAAATAAATATCATAAATGTATATTATAAACATAAATTCAGAATATTAAATTATTTAATATATATATTTAATACAATACTTAATATCATTCTTAATGTAATTAAAAATATAAATATCTTATCTTTATGATTATATATATCTAAATATGTTTTATAAATAGTAATTTAAATTTATTTTAATTTTAAGGATAATGATAACGAAAATTTAAAAAATGATATTAATAATGCTAAACCAAAGATCCAAGAGGATCAGGTTATAATCAATAAACATAATTCTGAGCAGCCTGCTACAGGTGATCTTTCTCTGCAATCTGGCAATAATTTTTCTATCAGTAAAAAAACAACAAAGAAATCTAAAAGTGACAGCAAAGAAGCTGAAAAGCCTAAAGAAGCAAAAAAATTGAATGATGTAAGTTGCTGTTCATACTTTTAGACTGAATTAAAAATTTAAAAGATATTTTAACAACTGTTATAAAATAATAAATAACAATAGCTAGTAATTATTATTCTAAAAGTAAATATTAAACTATATCAATTTAAAATGATATTAAATTTTAACAGTAATAAGTTAGCATCAAACAAAACATTAATTAAATAATAAGTGATTCATAAAGTAAAACTGGGTCAAGCTGCTTAATGGTTAAACTAAAAAAAATTTTCCCCTAAATTTAAAATATAAGGTCTTAGCAGGTCATATATTTTAAGTTTAAGAATAAAATTGTTAAATATGTTCAAATAAAAAAGAATTCTCTTCTCACATTGATAATAACAAAATAATATCTGTTATATAGTTAACATTTTACATTTGTTTAAACTTGTTTTATATTCCATGGATTTTATATATTCATTCTAATTACTTTCACTTAAACTGATAGGTTTTTATATATTCATTCTAAGGAGGTGTTCATATGTATTAAAGCAAATGTATTTTTAACATTGCATTCATATGTAAAATTATTTACCCTGCCTAGGTGAGAGATTGTCTATGACCTACTGGGATCCCGGTTAGGCTAGCTGAAAATTCTTCATATAAACACAAGCTGAAAACTATCCCAGGTAGACTGGACAGCTTTGTTACAATGTTTAAATAGCATTTGATTGATTTTTAAATTTAGGTCATTTGACCATATATATTTATATAACTCCAACATTTGTCTTAAAATTAGAATTAAAAAAAAAGGCTAAATTTTTTTTTGTCAGTTAGTTATTAACTTCATTTATATAAATATCATAAATAATTTATTAATAAATTATTTACGATATTTATTTCATAAAACATGCAAGATAAAATTTTTAATATGCATATAGTAGAGGTTAAAAGTTATCAAACAATTTTTTGTAAATTGAAATAGTTTTATTAAACTTTCATTTTTGTTTTTAATTTAAAAATTGACGTGAACGATTATTTGTAAACCGTAAAAATGTCCTGCTTGAACGAGTTGTTTTTTTCCATATGAACACAAGCTGAAATTTGTCTTATGTGATCGAGTACCTCAGTCAGGCAAGAAGGTTTTTCTCCATATGATCAGCCCTTAAGTGGTTTCACCTAGTTTTACTCTTTATTATACTCCATGATTAGTTTTTATGTATTCAGTTTGTTCAGTGGTTTGGCCTGGTTTTATTTTATGTAGAACTTTTTATTCAAACAAATTTTTACAATAATAATTTTAAATGTTTTTTGTTAGCATGATCCTCAAGTCTCATCACCTGGCTCAAACAAATCTCTTAAAACAACTGGGCCTGCCGCTATGAACCCATTAACACAAGCTAATAATAAAATAAAGCAAAAACTGTATGTTTTTTTTTAATTTTATTTTTTTTTTATATATACTAAGTTGTTGTTGAAGCTAATTCTATTCTTTATTATTATATATTTTAAATTAGAAAGATTAGAAAGAGTTAACTTTTAAAAGTTTGCATAGTTTATAATTTATGAGTTAACAAAAAATATAGTGCACAATGTAAAAAATGTAGAAAATGTACTTTGGTTGATTACAGCGAAGTCAATTAGAGATTAAAACATATAGTATTGGAAAAATAGAATGTGTTGGTAATTTTTGTAATCTCAGAGATACAATTGGATCAGCTCATTCAATACTAAAATTTTACCATATGAAAGCGGTTGCCTCCATAATTACAATCTTTCATAGTGTCCTACTCTCCCTTTCATATGTATATATATATATATATATATATATATATATATATATATATATATATATATATATATATATATATATATATATATATATATATATATATATACACACATATGAAAGGGAGAGTAGGACGCTATGAAAGATTGTAATTGTGGAGGCAACCGCTTTCATATGGTAAACTTTAGTATTGAAAGAGCTGATCCAATTGTATCTCTGAAAGAGAGAGAGAGAGAGAGAGAGAAAGAGAGAAAGAAAGAGAGAGAGAGAGAGAGAGAGAGACATATATACTAGAAACTAGAAACTTAATAGCTTGCTTAATAGCAGTTAATTGATATGTTCCTTCACATAATCACAGTTTTTTTTTCTTCAGAAGTTTTTAGATATAAGAATTGTCTTTATTATTTTTTTCAACCTTGTTACTTTTTATACTTATTTTATTATTGTTTTTTCTTTTACTACTATTATTATTACTTTTTTATTATTTCTTAAATTTTGTTTATGTTTTGATTTTCTTATTATTTTACCAGCGTTAGCGGCAGCAGGGGTAAATTGACAAATTGCATCTAACTTCAAAGCCTTTTATCAGAAATTGTTAGAAATCAATTTAATAATTTTAATTGACCATTTTTAACTTTTAAAGCAGCATTGCAGGCATACAGGAGTTATGGTGATTTTTTTTTTTTTACACAAATATGTAACTATTACTTTACAAAGAAATTTATAAAGACTCCAGTCACAAATAGCTTACTCTTTTCTGCTAGTTTTTTTTTTTTTTTTGTCAGTTGTTGATGCTTTTTTTCAAGATTCCTAAAGCTGTTTATTGGATAAAATCACGGGTTCATTGTCAAATAATACACAAGGCTAGTTGCCCACATTAAAGTTACTACGGTAAAAAAAATAAAAAAATTGATGAATTTTTTAATTTCAAAAAATATTGAAAAATTGTTTTTTACAAGAAAATTTCAGCTGGAAAAAAATAGTCTCCTGTTTAGGCTATGAATTATTAATTGCTCCCAGCTCAATAGAAAAATGATTTTTTTTACTTAAATTTGTTGCCAAAATAAGTTGCACAAAATTTCTATAAATTTTCCACTTAATAATACATAAATAATCACTTTAATATACTATATGCTATTTCATCCACCCACCCACAGTTAGTACACACCCACCCACTCATTTTCAAGACTACACTTTATTACACACTTTATATTTTTTTAAAAATGTATCAAAAAATACGAGTTAAAGAGCTCAAAGAGTAAATCCAGAGGCAACTTTTCCTGGTCTCCATTTACTTTTTCAAATTGAATTTTTTGATTGATTTAATCAGTTTTGATTTTACTGTTTTTAACTTTACAATTGCAAGACTGTAAGTTTAAAATAACTACATAATTAGAATAACTAAACAACATAATTACTAGATGGTTTAAACCATTTTTAAGGTTTTACTCATAAATAATTTGATCAATAAACATTTTATTTATGAACATATTGAAAAAAAGTGATTCAATTATAAATAAAAACTTTTTTAAACTTTTAAATATGAACAAAAAGTAATAGTAGTAATTTGAACTCAAGTAAAGTTGTACACAAATATTGTATTACCACAAGTTTAAAAAGCTGGTTTTTTAAATTTATTTATTAGTGGTAAATGATAAAAAGAATTTTTTTTTTTTGTTAAAGTAAAAAGTAATGTTTTTACTACAATTAAATTAAACTCATCTCAAAGTATTTTTAAATAAAATTTATAATTTATTGATACAGCTAATGACCATATAAAAATATAGATTTTCATTTCAAGTGAATTTTTTATGAGAAGTTTTGTTTTAAGTAAATCAACCACTCTACCCCCTTCATCCCAAATTTCATCTGATCTTTAAAGCTATTTATGTGATTCCTCTTGCTATCTACGTATACAATCTATTACCTCTTCAGATAAAAATTCATTCTTGATTTCCCGATTTTTAATTCTGATCAAATTATTATTAGCTCTCATTAACTCATCTAATTGGTAGCTCTTAAAACTCTTTTTTAGCATTTATATATTTATAAATTTATTATACACTAATTTATTTAAAATAATAGGGAGACAATATAAAAAATTTTTGTCCAAAATTTTATTTCATGGTATATCTAAAAGCTTTTACATTAAAGTTTTTGTTACCTGTTTAATTTTTATTGTTTTCTATGCGGCAGAGATTGTAGAAGCGGTTTATAGTAATTAAAAAATTTTGTTCCGATCAGTTACCTGGTAAAATAATCAGTTACCTGGTAAAATGTGAAATTTTTATCCCAGTTATTCCTCCGATACCCAATAGCTTCCTTTTACTATTATTATCAAGGTTTTTGAGTTTTTATGTTATTTTAATATAAAGTTTTATAATAGCAGAAATTTGATTGAGGTCTTTTATCAAAACTCTCTTTTTGAAATAATTCAATTAGTTTTCTCAGGAAATATAAATGGCTTTTTTAAAAAGATCCAATCTCGTTAAAGATATTTTATTATATTTTTAAAAAATGTATTATTAATAATAGTTTTCATACCATATTGTTCTTAAAATGAAGGTATTTGAAATTCCCTAATTGAAATCAATTTAAAAATAAAGGGTTATATCCATAAAAATTTTTATTTAATTTAAACTTTTTAAAGATGACGCATAAAAATATTGAATGGCAACAACAACAAAAAAACAAATCAAAGAAGAATTTTAAGAAAAGAAGTTAAAAGTAAATTTAAAGAAATATTTTTCACATTAATATAAGTTTATTTTGAATAAAAAACATAAAAATATGAAGAATAATAGTACAATCTGACTTAATTGTTATGATTTATAAATTTCCAGCAAATACTTTTAAAAACGTTTAATAATATTTAATAAGTTGTAATTAACACTAGGTTTTCTTAACTTAATAAATAAATAAAAATTGTTAACATAAAGGTGTTATAGCGTTAACATACAAGTGATATGGTATTAACATAAAAAAGTTATAATTGTTTGTTAAATTTATTTTTGGTGTAAAAAATTCATTAGTCATAAAAAAATAAGAAAAAAAAACTTTTTTTAGTAACCACAAAAATGATACCTCGAAAAATAATTCTGGTGAGTTTCGTGTAATATTGGAAGAAAAGGAACAAGCTTTATTAGCTGCACAGGAAACAATCCAGGTAAATAAAAAAAGTTAAAGTTTGCAGAAAGTTATAAATGTCACAAACGTAAAGTTTTTTATAAAAAAAGAAAATAATTAAGATGTTATAGTTTAAGTAATTCCAAATATACTGAGCAGTATATCTGAAAATTTCATTGTATTTGAATATATATATATATATATATATATATATATATATATATATATATATATATATATATATATATATATATATATATATATATATATATATATATATATATATATATATATATATATATTTATATATATATATATATACACATATATATATATATACAACCTTTGGAATTAGGGTCGGCCTAACTGCTGACCTAAACTTGTTTGCGGTCGGCAAAAAAAGTTTGGTTTTGCCAACCTCATTTCGATGTTTTATGGTGAGACCTTTGTATTTGCCGACTTCAATAGTCACAGCATATGGATGTATCAGTTCATGAAATAGTTCTTTAACTAGGCTTTTATGTTATTTTATTTTCCTTTTTGTAATGGTAATTGGGCTGATGCCTTTTGTATCTGCTAAAAATTTCTATGTGTTCTCCTGGATTCAAACAGACCTGGTACCTTGATTTTTTCTTTTTTTCATGTCAAGCCTTGCTATACTTCATGGTCTTTTTCTTCTGGTGCAGCTGCTATTTTTAATTGTATATCTTTCTTTTATATTTTTGACAAATATCTCGAGAACAAATGTCTTTTTCCTATTGCAAGATTTTGAAGTTTTAGAGATTTTGAAATTTTGGATATCTCTAACAGTCTCATAGAATAAGGCAAATCTAACATTCTATTTTTAATATATAGATCTAATCTTTCATACAAAGAATAAGGCAAACTATTTACAACAATCTTTTCATCTAATTTAACTCTTTAATCTAATGACCCTTAAAGAAAAAAGGTTATTGTATCAATAAGATGCAAATGGAGAGGAAAGGGTTATTGTTTTTTTGTTTTTTTTTTAATTTGCATTCACTCCCAACAAGGCTGCAAGCAACCACTATCAAGTTGGGAGTTACTAGGAAAAAAAAGAACAGAGTTATAGAGCAAGAAAACGGTTGACAGAAGACTTGAAAAGTTGAAGGTTATATGAGTCAGGAAAACATGAAGATGGGAGAGAGTTCCAAAGGATTGAAGTGCGGGGAAAAAAACTAGATGAATAAAAGTTTTTAGAACATGCAGGGACAGATACAGTAAACGAATGAGACTTAGCTGAATGACGAGTAAAACGAGAATGAATTTTAGTTGATGGAACTAGAGATGATAACTCCTTTGAGCAGTGACCATGATAGTATTTGTAGAAAAGAGAAAGAGATGCAACTTTACGACGATGGGAAAGAGGTTCAAGCTTAGCAGATAGTCCAGGTCCAACAACATTTACAATGCGTTTTTGGACCTTGTCAAGAAGAGAAAGTGAATCATTAGAAGAACCAGCCCAAATATGACAACAGTATTCCATACAGGGATGAATAAGAGATTTGTAGAGGTAGAAAATGGAATCAGAAGTAAGGAAATGGCGAGCACGATAAAGAGAAGCAACCTTAGCAGAAGCTAATTTAGCAATCGATTGTATATATGGTTTCCATGAAAGGTCAGTAGTAAGCGATAATCCAAGAAGACGTAAAGAGGACGACTCAGTAAGAGGATTGCCGTTCAATAATATAGGAATGTTGACCATATTACGGTAGTTTTTTGTAATAAGCAACTGGGTTTTTTTAGAGTTGAAATTCACAAGCCACTGTGAACCCCAATCTATTACTGAAGTGAGATCGGATTCAAGATCAGCTGCTTGTTCTAGGCGATCAAAAAGAGAAGACTTTTTGTCAAGACAGGAGTATAAAGTTGAGTCATCAGCAAAAAGAGCTACTTTAGATGAAAGGTTGTCAGGAAGATCGTTTATGTAGATCTGAAACAAAACAGGGCCCAGGATGGAACCTTGGGGAACCCCAGAAGTTAATGGAAATAAAGAAGAGTGTTGGCCTTCAAGGATGACTTTAATAAACCGGTCAGAAAGAAATGATTTGATAATCTCAAAAACTTTCCCAGAAACACCATATGAAGCAAGCTTATGGAGAAGACCAGCATGCCAAACTTTGTCGAAAGCTTTAGATATGTCGAGAGCAACCGCCCTAGCCTCACCGCCTCCATCTAATGCATAATAAAATCTTTCAGTTACAGCAGTCAGCAAGTCGGCCGTAGAGCGAGAGGATCGATGTTCTTGACATATCAAAGACTTTTGTTAAAATCTGACATGATGGTCTACTTAATAAAATTTCCCCATAGGGTGCATTTTGTTCTTAAAATTATTGAATTCTTCCTTTCCAAAAGTTTTTCTTTCATTCCAAAACACTTTCCTAGATTTTTAGTAACTTCAGTCTTTATGCAAGGTATTATCCTTGCTCCTTTCTGGTCCTGTATTTTTTCTCATCTATGTTAGAGATCATTCTAATGATCTTCTAAAAGTTTTTTTTATTTGCTAATATTAACTCTATACTCAAGTGTTGAGTGTCAAGTGTATCTTATATTTAAAAAAGTGACCTAAATCAAGACACTCTATCTTATAAAGATTTTTTTTGTGATAAATGTTGCTCATACAGATGACAGGTTATATATATTGAACAAATATATATATATATATATATATATATATATATAGATATATATATATATATATATATATATAGTATATATAGTATATATATATATATATATATATATATATTTGTTTTAAACTGTCTGCTCAAAACCTTTGTTTTTTCTTCCCAACTGTAGTGGCCATGAAGGCCAGTACAGTTGTGGTTATATAAATATGTGGTTATATATATATGTGGTTATATATATATGTGGTTATATATATATATATATATATATATATATAAATATATATAATATAATATATATATATATATATATATATACATAGTCCGTTTTTCTATTTTTTTTCCTGTTTTTAAGGTAATAGCCTGTTTTTTTTTGTCTGACTATGTTTATATATAAAATGGAATATTATGAAAGTTTATTTTATTTTTAAATGAAGTTTTCACTTGTGTGAATGGATTCATAAATTAAATTATATTATTTTAAAGAGCAAATTTTTTTGATATGGCGTTTACCAGTTTTGCTGATCAGGGGGTTTTATGGAACTTCTTCCCAATATGAAAGCAGTTCTAATGAATTCTAATAGGAAAACCCTTTCCAATATAAAAGTTTCAACTGCAATGATTAAACTTTACAATGATTTTTGAGACTCTGTTATACTAATATAAACTTTTTAGGCAGCCAGAAGTGTAATTTATTATTTTTACTTTTTAGTTAAAATAATTTTTTTGAAGTTAATATTTTCGTATGGAAAAGACTAAATATCAATTGTCATGAGAAAAGAGCTATCCATGGATAAAAGCTTCAAATAAGTCTGTTAACCATGGCTTTTGTAGATTTTGTTCTGTGGACATAAACATTTCAGCTGGTGTAACCCAGATTGATCTACAGTTTTAGTCAAAGATGCATGAAGAAAATGCAAAATCAGGTAGATCGCACTCTAAATTTGTGACAAATTCAGATGGTTTAGCTCTTAAGTTACCTACAAAAAGCATAATATTAAGCACCGAAGACCAAGTATTTACTGCTGAAATTGTTTGTTGTTTAAATATAATTGATTCTGTGCATTTTCTGCAGCTGATGGTTACAATCCGAAATATAAGCGTATGTTTCCGGATTCTGAAATTGCTAAAGCATATCAATAAAAATCTGATAGACTTAAATATATGATTCAGTTAGGCATTGACCCTTATATAAAAAAATTATTTGGAATAAGTTTAAATGTTTGCCATTCACATATCAATTTGATGAAATAACTACATCACAAAAAAAATAATATGATGCTTATGCCACATAACATTCTAATCACTTTCAGCAAATAATAATATTGTACTTAAAAACATTGTTTGTAGGTATACTGCGGAAGACCTTGTTCATTTTAAAAAATTGTTAGGGAAAATTCAGCTGCAACCAGAGTCAATTCTTTCCATTAGTATGGATGGTCCTAATGTCAATAAATTGTTCTTAAAAAAATCAGAAAATCATTTTGAAAAAAAAAGAAAAATTCATCATCCATGTTGGGTCATGTCCATTCCATACAGTTTCCAATTCTTTGTCAGAAGGTTTGAAATTGTTGATTTCTGAGGAGATTGATTTGGACCAAAGGCAACAACTGAAAGGTGCATTTGTCTTAAGAAAGCACTAAATAATAAAAAGTTGCCTGCCATTGCATACTCTGTCATTTTTATTGCTCATGATTACAAAGGCTTCACAGTTGCATTAGAAACTAAATAGCCAATGGTTACAGTCCTGTTCCCAAAGATGCAGAACCTTCGAAAGAGTTTGCTCTCAAAGTTTGTTATTGATGATATTATTCTGCAACTATCCAAACGGTTAAAGCTTATATCAAAGTTGAAAACCCTTGACTTAAATAATGCTGAGATTCACAAGGTAGCATGTATTTCTTACAAGCTTTATCAATTCAAATTTCTTTTTCCATTACAGTTAGGCAATGCACAACGATAGAAAATTAAACCTTGAAT